AACACGACTTTGGCTTCCAGAGAATCTTCATGTTCATACAAACAACTTCTGTAGTGTTTGCATAGAGACAAACCTATATATCCTCAAATGAAAGTAATTATTCAAATAATGTCGGTGAGTAGAGAGTAATAAACACTGCTCTCAAAGGAGGCCGCCCATCAACAGTCACTCGCTGTTTATCTTAGAAACAGAAGCGCTGTTCTCACACTGCGACGTCATTTCCTTCGATTCTGTTTTGCAGTTTTTTCACAGCATTAAAAAGGAAAATTGGCACATTTTCAACCTTATCTCTACCTCTCCAAGTCCGGTATGTGGTGTGAAAACCCCCTGCAGATGTTACTGATGTTCTCTGAAGTCTGTTGTTCTTCCTCCTCACTGACGGACGGACGGACGGGGGGGGGGGTAGAGCTACAGAGTGCTACCTTCACATTCGGTACCCGTGGGAGATTGTTGTATTTCTTTGATTTCGCGGTGTGCCTTTGAAGAAGGGGTGAGAGTGAGAGTGAGAAAAAGAAGAAGAGCGTCTAGAGCCGGAATATTCTCACACGTTACTCTGTGAATGAAGTATTTATTTTGACCAAACCAGAGTTACTGATTGTTGGAAAAACAGCGTAAAAACAAACCAAGCAGAGAGTTTTAGTGTCTTAGTTTGGTGTAAATTCAGAAAGAGTACAGTTGCATCTTTCGGTTTAGGTGTAAGAATATTTCCTTAATTGTATTTGTCAACCGTAGCGCAATGCATCCTGGTATATGTAGGCACAGCCGGCACAGCGCCTCAGTAGTAGAGATTGTCTTTGTCTGTCCGTATAGTACTTCTTCGGTGGACTACAGTTACCATCAGCACTGATCAGACATCCACAACAAAGATGGCGATGTTTGTCTTTCAGCTGTTGATGGTTTACGTGGGAAGTTAATCCCAGATCCTTAAACATCTCATCTTATTATCTGTTGATAGCGGCCTAAACAATAGCTTCTCTGTGTGACATAGCTTCTCTGTTTTTTGGTGAATAAAGTATTTCTATGCAAATGAATTTTAGTCATGTTCAGGTGGTCTTTCTATAAGATACGGTGGCTCTCCTCCACAATAAAACACCGCAGCAAAGCCTGTCCTGTTCCAAATAAAGGCCAATATTTCAGCATTTACACAAATTAAGATTGCTGAACCAATAAAGAAAATATTCAATACACGCAAGGGTCATATTTCAGACTTTATAATGCATTTTAAGGAGGAAAAGGAAACCGAAATGAAAAGTGAAACTTACCTGAATAAAGCGTTGAATTTTAAAAACGGTATTTCCCTGCTGGGAATGTAAACGTGACGGCGCAGACGAACCAAAAGGTCATTCGACTCTCATGCAAAACCAAACAGGACAGCAGCTTTACCTTCAAAAGGGCGTGGCCTCCTCTCTGTCTCTTTCATTAGTTTAATCATTTCAAGGAACAGGAAACTCAGGGCCAATGAGTCACACACACACACACACACACACACACACACACACACACACCCAAAGGGAAGCAAACAAAACAAATACAAAATCAATCATGCTTATAAAAGTACGCAGGGCAAAACTGAAGTGCTCTGCCTCTGACTCATCAACATTCTTAACACTTGAGACAAACAACACGGAGCTGAGATGACGAGTTCACCGACATCTGCGAAGGTGCGGTGACTTTAGTGAAAGAAGAACGTGAGCTGCAGCTGTTAGCTCTGGAAAAAAAGCAAGTAAGTAGACCTTGAGTCCAGATTATCTTTTCAAATCAGCGACCATGGCCAATACGGCACATCTTTCATAACTTTCATTTCTTTTTTTTCAAAAAATGTAAATGCATGTAAATACACATCACTGCATCAAACGTGATGAACATCCAATGATGAAGACCATGGGATGTGGTTGAAAGTCCTACAAAAAGCTAGTAAGTAGACCTTGAGTAAAGATGAAATGAGTCGCCCTGATGCAGCACTGAGTGAGTGAAGGCGACGCGTCTTTCATTCCTCTGAAAGCTGTTTAAAGATGTAAAGTAATGATGAAGACCTCAAGATGAAACAGAAAGCACCGGGAAAAGACAGTAACTACATTTAGTTTTTGATAAACAAACACTTCCAAAGTAAATAATTCATTTTCCTGCCGATACCAAACATTATTCCACGACACGAGAAATAAACACATCGTCGTAAAAAAATGTGGAATATTGATTTTATCCTTTTTCTTATTTAAAATAAAGAAGATGAAACACAAGAGCACATGAAGACATGCGAGGAGATGAAGTGAGAGCAGAGTGAGAGCACGATGTACCGGAGTGAGGCAGTCCGAGGACGTGAAGTATGATGAACACCGACTTCAGATAAACCTAATTTATGACTGGAAGAAATAAACGACAGGAAGAGAAGATGTGGGCGTTCGTCTAAACACGAATGTCCAGCTGCCAAGGCCGAGCCGCAGCGCACTGTTCTTAAAACACACGATGAACAAGCTTCAGTCAACAAGTGCTGGGTTTATTAGTCAGAGCGTTAGTGTGATCATGCAATAACAGCGTTATATAAAATTCAGAAGAGAAAGGTATATTCTAATATTTAAATATCAAAAGACGGACACACCGTTCTCATGTGTTCCTTCTTTTGGGAACGGTTACGAAGGTTAAGGTTACTTGTTTCCTAAAACGTCATCGGGAGTTTTGTTAAGTCCAGGATTTCCCTTCCGGAGATTGTTTGGTAGACGGCGGCCAAACCAACGGCCACATTCATTCAATGAAAAGGCATTCGCTGTGTGGGATAACAACTCCTTTTTCCCCTAATGGTTATGTTTTTATTGAAAGAGGATTACATTTTTTAAGATTTTAGCGGAGGGAAGGTGGCCCACATCTAATGTAAAACAGCGTAAGTCATTTATAACAACATATCAGGACCATATCTGCATTGTCTTTCCTAACACTCGCTGTAATATTCATCTTTATAACGTTTTGTGGAACCCAACTATCCTCAGTACAGGAACAAGGTTTATGAAATGTCAGCTTTAGGTTTGGCTGAGATGACTTTAATTCAACCTTTGTCCCGTTAATGACAGAGGCATCCTCAATCAGACGTGAACATTTGAGAGCTGCAGCTGTGGTCAAACCAGTTTCCTGACATTGTTGTCGGGTGACGACGACTCATTTGCCAGTGAAATAGTTCCTGATGGATTTTTGACGTGCTGCCAGTCTTAAAGCACCAACACAAGAATCATTTTACAAGTATCGACACACAAAGAAACACAAAACACAACCCAGAAATAAATACGCAGCTCAATAAAAAGGGCTGAAATATGCAAAGTGATGCGAATATCGTGAAAAGGAGTCGGCCAGTAGTAACAGGTCTGTTAATATAGTAATAAGTTATAGATTAACGTTATAGCTACAAAACATGGCTGCTTGGGGTTTCTAACGCCATGTTTATAGATATTACACTATAGCGATACACTGAATGTAAGAAGTGGACGGAGTCACCGTGACGTCACCCACTGGTTTGTGAACTGATGTTTTGAAGCTTCTAGTTCGGCGATTTTGCCGTCGCCATCTTGGATTACGGTCGTTGCCATCTTTGCTTTTTTGCCACCGATGAACGGTGTTACCATATCTGGACTGAGGAGGAGTGACGTAGAGACGGCGTATACGTCTCTGGGACTTATTTTTGCAACCGGAGATTAAGATTTATTAATTTGATTTACTTAGAAATTTGAGTTAGTGTGTTCTTGTTATTATCAATTTAGACGACGTAATTGTACCTCACGATATCTCGACACATGATTTCCTCACGCTACGATTCCATTGAAAGACGATTAATTCTCATATTAAATTATCGTAGATCTTTTTTTCACAAGAAAACGCAGGGAAGGCTGTGTTTGATGCCCAACGGGGGAAAAACTGCGAGTCATCACTAAATCACAACACAAGCAGATTTAAGAAGAATATGATGGAAGCTACCACAAAAAAAAACAAAGGAAATGCAGCTACAACAAAGACTGGGAAACAGCTTAGAAGTGGGTGAAGCCGGTGGAAGGTGATTCTCAGAGAGTTGTTTTTGGGTGAAACCTGCAGCTATTTTCCAAATTCGACACAGTATGAGAGTCTCAACCTGAGGGCAACACACACAGATGTTACGAACTAAGGGGCAGAGTAGAAATGTGTATTTCTTTTAAGCTAGATAGACATTATATCAACATTTTAGACAACCTCTCAGCCTTGGTAGGTAACAGGTGGTCCTGTTTGGATTTGTTTCCAGAGAACACAGGACTCCACGTGAACCTATTTCACATCATTCCACCGGTGAATACCAGGAGGTGTTGTGTCTGATGGAGTGTGACATTGGGCCTGCACATGTTGTTCTTTCAAGGCAACAGCACGATCTAGTTTGGTGCAACACAAACAGCTGGTGCATTGAAGGCCAATGTGTGAAATGCATCTATAACAAATGTGGTTTGGGATGTACAGTTAAAAACTCAACCTGGAATATTTAGCTGCATGGTATCAGTGAGTTGGGAACTTAGGGTTCAGTGTCTCGCTCGGGTATCGAAACGACGGCCTTGGGGTTACAGTACTACGAGTAATACTTTTTAAAACTTTGTATAGTCACAAAGCATTGTATGTAACTGCAAAACTAAGCTGATACTGTTGATACGTGAAAACTTTGTGAGTTCATCCGTAATTAGTCTCTTTATATATATATATATATATATATATATATATACACACATACATACACACATATATACAGTATATAAATATACATACACACATATATATCTATATAGATATAGATATAGATATATATATATATATATATATATAAATAATAAGCTCAGAGCTCCTGCTAGCTCTGGTGGCATTAATGTCTACACTCACAGCCAGACTTCCTTTGTGAAATACTGTATGTTGCAAATAAAAAGTGGCTTTTACACAATACATGCGTTAACTGCAACCACAAAAATGTGTAAGTCCAGAAGTAGCTTCCCCTGTCCTAACAGTAAAGTACATACAAGAAAACAAACAAAGGAAAATAACAATTGGCAGAGAAATGTCAATTGGGCATTTTAACTAATTAGCATTCATCAATGTAAACAGTTTCAGCAGATGAATTACATAAATGATGCTGTTAGTGTGCACAACACAACCTGTCATTAAACACACTCAGAATACACGCTAATTTACTTTTAATTGGTTAATTTCACCAGTTTGTCTAACGTTATTTTAGAGGCGTTCACGTGAAATGCATAGTGTCGGAAATATCTGTGCTGAATCACAGCTGACGTTAAACTGAACCACCTGTGGCACTAAACTTATCTGCACCGAAAGTTCTGCTGCCCGACACTTGTACTCACCGCCTCCCAAGCCCAGCAGCCGGCAGATATCTCTGGTGAACTTCATCCGCTTCTACCGACACGCAAACCTCTAGACTATCGCACAGCGGAGAAGACGATGAGTTCTCCTTCTCCGCCTGCAGCAGTCACCACTGTCAAGCTCAACGACACGTCACGACAAAGACAACTTCCGGTAGTCTCCTTTCAACAATAAAACAATGACGGGCAGAATTTGAAGAGCACTTCCGGTCACAAACATCAAAATAAAACCACAAAAGGATAGCCTTCTGCTCATGACTCTCAATATGGTTTAATATAAAAAAAATATATGTATACATATTTAGGATCCTAAATGGTAAATGTTTTAAATATAATTCCTGATTAAATCTCTCTTTTCTAAATTAAGAACATTCATGTGTTTCTGTGTCTTTAATTGATTTTGTTATGCACTTGTATTGCCTCTATTCAATTTGGGGCAACTTATTACTGCACTGAAACTATATTTCTGTATTTTTTTGTTTATGGACTTAATTTTTTTATCTATTTCACTTCATCTTATTTTCGGTGACACTGTTATGGGTCCCATAGTTGTTGGATAAAACTAATTTAGTATCACTTGGTATTTATTATAGGGAAAATTGAGACAGTGTTTAAATGGTATGTATTGGAATGAATTAGTGTAGAAGCAGGTTGTTAAATATGTCTACAAGCATACAATACAACATGAAATAGAATAGAAACTTTTCAATGATTCATTAATCTTTTCTCTTTTTTTTTTCAACTACATTCTCTCAGAAATTCAAAAGGCTTATCACAACCGTCTCAGAGTGTTGTCTCTATTTTCCCATGAGGGACAAATCCACCTGTCTAGCCAAGAAGTGAGAAATATCCTGAGAACAACAGACCGTAAGCCATCTGGTATTTCCCCGCAAGTTGACCCACTTAAACGTGGTGTCTGGTCTGGACAGAATGGCTATTTGTTGGTCCAGATAAGATGTATTTCATGAGGAACGTAGACTGCACATGTGTCCACTAGATGGTAATACTGCTCTGTGTCTCAGTACAGTGAGGCCGGTCAACAGATGTGGTGTTAAAAGTAATCTCACAGAGCATTTTGTTCTGTGTTATTGTTGGGAAAGAACTAAAAACTGAGGCGTGTTTTGCGTCTCCATAAGGCCTGTGTCCTCACGTGAACGTTTGTGTGAACTTCTTTTGACACTAAGTGTCTCAGCTGGGTTTGCGATTAGGTGTCACAGTTGCCTACTTGATGAGCATTTCAGCTGTTTGTCCTAAATAAGAGATAATAAATCTGTTGAACACGTCAATGTTTACGCAGGGCTGATTTGCAACCATGACGTTCCCTGATTAGGATAAGATGACCCTTTAACACAACGAATTCTCCAAAGTGATCTTCCAGACCTTGTGCAAATCACTCTGTGCCAGCGCACTTGTCTGTTATCCTCAGTATATATAATATCAGAGACTCAGAGACAGACCTCTGAGCAGCCTTGATGCATATTCTGTAAGTGAATCAACTCTGTCTCCTTCTTGCAAGAATAAATGACCTGTTTAATGATTTTTACATCGGTCTCGAGTGAATTTTTCTAACAGTTATACTGAGATAAAGCGTTGCAGATTTATTTATTACACATGTAACAACCACAGAGAAGCGTTCCAGAGCACCAGGTAAAATAAAACACGGTGGAGTAGAGGGAGTAGAGGGAGTGAAGCACCTTAGATAATAAAAAAACCTGTTAAATCAGGTGTATCATCAACTTGGAAGCTCATACAAATGCAAAAAACTTCTGTAAATCAGAGTCACCAAAAGAGTTTGTACATAAATAATACTATGAAGTAGTATTCTCAGTGGTTTCTATGTACTGTACATACATACACTGTAGTTTGCAAAATGAATTCAAATAATATATTTGAGGTTTGCAGCGCAATTTCAATTTAACTTTTTTTTTAAAGATTCTGATGTATTACTACACTAATATAACAATACATTACTGTGTACAGTAGCCTATATGTAATATAACTAAATCCAGTTACAAATAGAACAAAAAAAACAAATCTCTTAAATTTCAGTATAACTATGCAGAATCTGTGTTTCTAAAATAAAAACGGTATAGTTTTAGAAGGGAAATATTTGAATTTAATAATGGTAAAAAAAACATCAAGATCGTTGTTTAAATAGTTTAATTATCTTTTTCCTGCTGAGAACAACAGAATCTCAGACGATCAGATCAACATTGTTGGTGATGAAGATGATAAACACTTAAAACAACAATAATAACCACAACATGTGCACTAGTATTTTTTTTTCAACATCATGCAACATTATTTTCATAATTCTATGTGCAATACAACTTTCAACACCTTTTTAAATAGCATTGACAATATCTCTGTTAATATCATGATCAATATAACTTTATTTTAGTTTCCTGAAGGCTCTGGTGTGCGTTTCACTTCTTATACACTTTGTATTTTTACTCTTGTATTTAATATTTGTTCTTGTATTTTACTTTTTATAATTTAGTTGAATGTTTTGTACTTTATTTACGGTATTTACCTTGCTCTTACTCTTATTAGTGTCGGTAATATTTATTTTACACTTAATAATTGTTATTATGTTGTTGATACATGTTAATATTTGTATTATATTGTTTAGTGCTATTCTGTTGTAATCTTTAATGGCACAATCATTTCTCTCAGGATTAATAAAGTCTTATTATATCTTATCTTTATAAATACACTTTGCCTGCAACCTGCTGGCACAAACAACCGTCCAATCCGTCTCTCTGTAATACAGACAGACGGGCGGCTGAACCAATCAGAGCCCGTAGTCTCCCGCGTCTGGACCAATCACGTGCCTGTTTAGGCTTAAGTGGGCGGAGACATAGCGGAAGCGACGCGTTTGGCTCAACAGCCATTGATGCGCTTTATTTCCAAGAGGACGCACCGGGGTTAAATTGTGCTGTATTTGCGGTGTTTTCTTTCTGCGGACCGCAGTCATGGTTTCTCACTCGCTCGCGCTGCCGGTGATCTGCTTCACCACGTTATGGGCGCTCGTGGGCGTCGTGGCTCCGTTTCTTGTGCCCAAAGGACCCAACCGGGGGTAGGTGGTCTATGCCGTTAACGCGCTGCAAATACCGGAGATTATTGAGCGTTTCCCCTTCATTTCATTTCATCTCATATATTAAGGTTAAAAAATGTTTCATTATTCAAATTAATAATTGTTTACTTCGCACTCAGCCCTGCATAGCGTCTTTATAAATGCACGAGCGTGCTCGTGCTCATGTGATGGAGGCCCAGCGCGTCATCTTGCGTCCATCCCAACATCCTCTCCTTTCCTCCATCCTTTCCTCTATCCTTCCCTCCATCCTTTCCCCCATCCTTCCCTCTATCCTTACTTCCCTCCATCCATCTCTCCATCCTTCCCTCCTTACTTTCCTCCATCCTTCCCTCCATCCTTTCCTCCATCCTTACCGTTAACCTGTTTACTTCTCATTTGTTGTTGTTTTTTGCACCTTCTTCATGATCTTTATTATTTAAATGTAGTTTTTATTTGCAACTGCTGCCCAACAATTTATCTCAGGATAAATAAAGTTGTATCTTATTATTTTTACTATGCGTAATTTTATATTGTGATAGTGTTGTTATATACTATTTGGTCGTTCATAAAACAGTTTATAGATCAGAAATAATCAGACAGAGTCATAAGTTTTGTGCTAATGCAGCCAAGAAAAAAAAAATCAAGGTTCTTCATCACATTCGCTACTTAAATAAATATAGTATTATTAGTTCAAACTACATGTCCAAAACCTGACCGATGACCTGAATGCTTTGTAAACGTCTCAATATATAAACTGTTGTTTTCTTCTACAGTGTGATTGTCACCAGTCTCATCCTCACGGCGGTCTGCTGCTACTTGTTGTAAGTACAAACTTCTCTTCTTCTTCTTCTTCTTCTTTGGTGTGAAGCTGCTGTCACGTTGCGTGTTGATGAGTCTGCAGCTCTGGTTATCAGACTTTAAAACATTGCAAATTTATAAGGAGTTTCCTTGGACACGCGTCTGCTCGTTGCGTGCACTTGAGTACTACTACTACTACTACTACTACTACTACTACTACCACTACCACCACTACTACCACTACTACCACTACCACCACTACTACTACTACTACTACTACTACCACCACTACTACCACTACTACTACTACCACTACCACCACTACTACCACTACTACTACTACTACTACTACCACTACTACTACTAACTACTACTACCACTACTACTACTACTACTACCACCACTACTACTACTACTACTACTACCACTACTACTACTACTACTACCACCACTACTACTACCACCACTACTACTACTACTACTACAACTACTACCACCACTACTACCACTACTACCACTACCACCACTACTACCACTACTACTACTACTACCACTACTACTACTACTACTACCACCACTACTACTACTACTACTACTACTACTACCACTACTACTACTACTACTACCACCACTACTACTACTACCACTACTACTACTACAACTACTACCACCACTACTACCACTACTACTACTACCACTACTACTACTACTACTACCACTACTACTACCACTACTACTACCACTACCACCACTATTACTACTACCACCACTACTACCACCACTACCACTACTACTACTACAACTACTACTACTACTACTACCACCACTACTACCACCACTACTACTACTACAACTACTACTACTACTACTACCACCACTACTACCACCACTACTACTACTACTACTACTACTGGGCACAAAAGCTTTTGAGTACGCTGAAATCTGAATCTATTGCAGGAATATTTTGCAGCTTGAAATTGGATCAACTATCCTAAAATATCGTGTAAAAAAAGATCTACATCAGGATGTTTATGCAGATAAAGTGCTCAGACAAATGTGATGAGCATGCAGGATTATCATCACACCACTAGATGGAGTCCTAGATCCTTCAGGAGGTGATTATCACTTCACCATCACGCAATGGTGGACTCACAAACTTTAAAAAGTCAGCACAGGGGAGGATGGAGGGAAGGATGGAGGGCTGGGTGGATGGAAGGATGGAGGAAAGGAAGCACCTGGATGAGGCGGAGGAGCTTGAATGAACAGAGAGATAGAGAATAAATATATAATGCTGATAAACTGATTGTTTTATTGTGCAGATTATATGTAATTTAAGGGATTACTGACAATGGAACGGATTGGTTAAGAAATGGATAATATAGATCACTTATTATTATGTAATTTCCATTATTTACTGACCAAGTAGCAACGAAAAAGCTTCAAAATTCACGAGTCGGGTATTTAGAGACGAGGGGGCGGGCTAACTCGCTTCCAGGGTTTAAAGTCCTGTAAATGGAGAAGCTTACACTCATATTAGAATGTTTGTTAATTCAAAGGCTTTAAAAGGCTATAATAGCATCGTGTAGACCTCCATTATCGTAGAGAATGTGGACGTGTGCACTGGAAACTGCTTTACAACCGAGTCCACCGGGGCCAAAGAACTACAGGCCGTAAATAAACCAGCTTCTTCAGGCTGCTTCTTGTCTCTTGTGGCGGGAGGCTGGTCAGCCTGCAGGGTGAGCTCATTAGAAGCTTTGCCGAATCAATAATAGACGATCGTGTGTTATTAACGAGGATGATCGGAATTAATTAAGACCTCCAGACAACCTCTCTGAGAGTTGGTTAAAACTGAACGTTGGTGGAGTCTCTCGTGTGCTTCGGCCTCTTGGCTCTTGCTCTCTTCACGGTCACGGTGGTTATTACGGTAATACAATCAATCGGTGTTTGGAACCCAAAAGTGCAGCAACGAGACCCAGACTGCAAGAAAGAACTTTCCTACGAAGAGACGAGTTATACATTGATCGCTGTGTTTATAACCTTCTCTGTCTATCTTTACTCAGTTGGTTGGTAGCCATCTTGGCCCAGGCCAACCCTCTGTTCGGCCCTCAGCTGAAGAACGAAACTATATGGTACCTGCGTTACTTCTGGGAGTAAACAAGGTAAGTTTATAAAGAAGGACACTTAAAGATACACAACCTGAGATCCAAAAAAAACAAGCTCTGTAGTCTGTTTAATACGCTCAAACTATTTTCAAATACTGAGAAAATATAGTGAAATAGGCCTAGAACTTTCTGTGTTGACATTAGATATTATTTATGCGTTATTATTTAATTAATTAGCATCTTCAGATTGTCTGGTAAGACCAAAAGAATAGACAGTATATTTACTGCAGACTTCTTAGACTTTATACTCACTTATGCACCACTCAATCTAGGTTATAGTCCCGCCCTGCTGTGCTGTGATTGGGGGATTTATCTGCTTTCCTACACTGTGAAGATTTCCACCACGCGTTAATGCTACACCGGTTACAGGAATTGAGCCGCTAAACACTGTCACTCATTTGTGACAACAGCGTAGTCTGTATATAAAGATGGACTAGAGTCACACTTTACTCCTTTAGCAGCTGGCTACGTAGCTAGCATGCTAATTCCACCATGCTTTAATGCTACACCGGTTACAGAAACTGGACCCTCATAGGAGAGGTTTTTTGTTTATTTCGTCTTCCAGAAATTTCCTTAGGTTATGGCAACAAACCTACTTGTTTAGGTCCAGGAAAAGATCATGGTGTGGGTTAAAATAAACGAGTGCGGGCCAATCACGGAACAGTGACACTAGCCAATCACAGCACAGTAGGGCGGAGACTAGGCGGGACACTCTTGGGATTTGAAAGAAAAGGAGAGCTATTATGCTTTTGTATATTCTCCTTTCTACTGGCTTCTTGAACGGCTTCGGATCCCTCGGGCTGCATACTGTACTGAACTGTCATGTAATATACATTACTGTACTGTACCGCACTGTACTGTACCATAATGTACTGTACTGTAGTGAAATGTACTGTAATGTAATGTACTGTACTCACCTGTTTCCTAATAGTGCTGTTTCCTAAGTAACGTCCACGATTGAGGACATTCCAGATAATAATACTTCTTTCTCTTTCTCTTTCTCTCACTCTCTCTCTCTCTCTCTCTTCCAGGACCGTGTGATGTGATGCCTCTCATCATTCCTATCCCGTGGTTTGCTGGATTTTTATTTGAACATAACTCTTCACCATCAAACATTCACACACACACACACACACACACACACTCACAGACAAACACAATCTGCAGACTTGATGAACCAACTGAAGAGTTGCAGCCTTTGTAAATATTTACAATGATGTACTTGGAGTGAAGGATTTAGAGTGTATGTAGGACACATGTTGTGGGTTTTAAAACAAGGAGAATAATTCATTCCTGATACAACGCACGCAGTTAACAACAGTGTTTTTTATCACTTACTGATTCTAATGATGTCCAGTGGAACCGTAACACCATCCTTTAGGAGTAGATATTAATCTTCCTTCTCTGAAATGTGCAATCTGTAGGAAGTTAAGTTCACTTTCTGTTCATTTACATTTTTTATTTTATTTTTGGGGTTTTGTGTCGCCGCCATCAGGGAACATGAATTTCTAAGTATTTGTATTTATTCGGCCCGCGGGGGCACTGATGTAAGCGATTACCTCGTTGTCCTCGCGGCCTCGTTATCTAACCGTTGTTATCTGTGATGTAATGGTGTGTGTGTGTGTGTGTGTGTGTGTGTGTGTGTGTGTGTGTGTGTG